TACGATAAAGGACTCAACTAGTCTTTTCTTGTCTTGGTTAAAATCAGTCATTTCTCTGTACTTTAAGCCCACTATTTTCTTCTCATATAAAGACAAAAAAATAGGCTCATTGACATAACGGAAAACACCAAACACTTTCACTCGAAATACAAGTAAACTCAACAATTATATTATTTTAAAATTTAATTTTTGTAATCGAAAATCGGCCCCAACGGAAACCAGAGGATCATTCTTCCGTTCTCAATATGGATATATTAAGAGTCCTCTGCACACCGTCCTGCGAACTCGATAAATCCGTGCACAACTTTTTTCTGCCCACTGACAATCATCTTCAGATCCAGGAATCATCAGTATAGAAAATTCACCAAAATACCAAACGAAAGAAGGTTCTAAGGTTGAGGAACAATTTCATTCCAGAATAATTTTTCATTAGGATTAAATGTCAATTATTTCACAATATGAAAAATGACGATGAAGGAAAACAGATATTTATAGCTACCGTTCTGTTGGCTTAAAAAAGTATAGACGAACTACTTAATCAGTGTGGCATTAGGGCAATGTAGAAAGGGAGACAGACTTTTTCCTCAGTTATCATTTTTTGAGAATTTTCAGACCATCTATACAAGGTCTTGAATAAATGTGTAAATATGCGTAAATGTGCAGTCAACCCCGGATGAGAATAACTCTTGGGAGGCAATGCTATGCGAAATTAAATGGAAGTATAAGTCCTACTCAATTCAGTGTGTGAAAATTCAACCACAGATCGACTATTACCTTAAACGAAGTAGAGTGAATACAGCTTTTATATCTTTCATTTCATTTGAAGTGGCGAGTAGAAAGGATTCATAAGTTGCTCCCATCGGAAGCCGAAGTGGAGTTGTCTTGGAGCTGTGATTGCAGATTTGTACGAATTGGTCCTCAGCTCACCGTCCCGCGACCTCGATAAATCCTTTCTGAGCTTTCGTCCGTCATGTGACGGACATCATCGGAGCAGGATACCAGGCTTGATGATAATTCACCGAAACATGAAGACAAAAGAGGTGCTGGCGGCAAATATATCAACTACTTTTTATAGCCCAACTTTGTACATTTAATGAGAAATCTCGTGATTTCGTTAGCTATTCTACGCTTTTCCAACATCTTTGTTGAAAATGTGAAATAAAAGTAAATATGTTAGACCTGACTACCCTCACAAAAGCGGTTATCTTAACACGTCGGAAAAGGCCGCTTATTAGCCAATGGGCAGATACTTGAGTGGAGGCTCACTATTAGGTGGGACTTTGAAGAATTATGAGAACAGAATAGAGGACACAAAATAGAATCATATAAACGTAGGAGATGGAGACTTCACAGCCATGCGAAATTAAAGCCAAGCAAAAGACATTCAAAATAGGAGGAACTACCTCTGGCAATTTGATAAAACTAGGGAGTAGGAGAGGAAGCAGTATGAACCTGGCGTTGTATCCTCATTGTCTCTTAACAGCGCGTCAATTCAAGTGGATTTACTAAGACATAATCACTTTCACAACCGTTAGGGCTTTTGTATCTCACTATGCACTTACACTTAGTCATTCACTTCATCCAACTTGTCATTAGTTCTTTGTGATACATGAAAATCACTGTCTTATCTAATTGGCTGTCTATAACCGCATGATATCTATCGGCTCCATTTTAAATGACAGGTTCGGGGATTTATTCACCTAACTGACCCTGAAATATGATAGAACACGTACGATGTAGGTTGCGAGAACTGATCTCAAGCTGTCTGCAGCCCTTTTCAAGTTTCTTGGGTTTCAGAAATTCTATGTAAAGTTTATCCGCCCCCTCACCTCCCCTCCCTTCTCTCCCTTCATCTGGGACACCTGTGTATGGCTTCCTTTGGAGCCGCTTGTGTCGAGGCCTGCTTCATTTGTAAATTTCTGAATTAAGTAAACACTGAAGATATGAAGACCAAGATGTTGTG